GGGATTGGGGGGGGATTGGGGGGGGATTGGGGGGGGTTGGGGGGTGCTTGGGATCTGGTTGACGGAGGGGGGGTGGGACCACGCAAGAGCACAAAAACCCATCAATTGCAGAAGTCTGGAAGGAACACCAGCGTCTTATTAGACTGATCGGCCGTAGTTGATCGACGACCAGTGACTGAAGGCCTACGGCTCATGCTGAATGTTGGACAGCAGCTTGTAAAGCTGCATGTGTGCATGCAGGAAAACGCTAATCTGGGTGCCACAGAGGCCTCACCAACACAGCGGGATGCCACAGGGGCCCCATCCTTCTACGGGTATCCGGCTGATCAGGGTGGGTGTACCATCCACATCCGTAGCTTCATTGCACACGGTAGGCTGTGTATGCCGTGTGTCCCTACAACCTACAGCATGTACTGAAAGTAGTGATACATGCAGTCAGCCGCCACTGTGAAGGGCTTATTGCAAAAAAGAAGTGACTGTCTGTGCACAATAAGGAGCACAGCACACACGCACGTCATGCAAGTACACTTGTACAGCCGGAAGCCTTGGTAAATCTTAGCAGGTCTTGTGTTGCTTAGCTATTCTTTTGGAGGTTATTGGCTGCTTCGTACCTTGCCATCGCACTAGTGCAGAGAAAACTTGAGACCAGACTGTCTTGTTGGAAGTTCTCAGCATAGCCACGAGCCAGTGCACACGACCTGCAGTCACACACACACACAGACACACGCAAACTGCGAGATGCGTGATAATTAATTTGTCTTTCCGTGCCATCCAGAACTTGCAAGTAGTGCGTAGACGATTGCAGAAATGAGCCCAGCAACTGCCTGGTACATATGCATTCATCCCCAGCTTCCGACAGATAATCAGTATATAGAGCCAGGCTCTATGTTCGGAATTAGTAGCGGGCCCGGGACATGTCAACTGGCCTATGGCCTATCGTGCCTCATTCTATTCACTGGTCTGACTTACCAGGTTTGTGGCCTAGCCTGGTTGACATTTGCAAAGGCAGGTACCTGGCAGTGATGGGTCCCAGCCATGAATGCAGCCATCTTCGTTGGACAGCCAACTGCATTTACGGTGTGGCCTCCCTGTCTTTATATGTGCATTGCTTACGATACAGCTCTTGGCGAACAGGGCTTGACTCAAACACACACACACACACACACACACACACACCCGCGAGCGCGGACGCACGCAAGCATGCAGCGCCAGGATTCAATCGTGCAGGGAAGTGAAGCAAGCAAGGGCAAGAGCAATATGACCGGCGTTGCATCGGCATCACATCAAGTTTTCCTTTCGTTCCCATCGCGCCGATGCTTACGTAGAAACCTTTCAAAAAATAAGCGCCATGCCACTGAAGAGCCAATTCATTTCTATTCATTTGCAGCTATGCCGATTGACATGACCCCACCCCACTCGACATCCCCGAAATTGCCCGGGTTTGCTCTCGGTGGTGTAGCTGGCACGGACGAAACAATGGATCATTACCGGTTCGCTTCCGCTGGCAAGGCTTTACCGTTCGATGATGAGACAGGTTCTTGCACCGTTGTACTACCGAGCCTTGTGCGGGGAGCAAAGTGCAAAAGGTTTCTGTTCTCACGTTCAATAAGCGCTGGTATGTGCGGTATATGTACGGTATGTCCCGGACTAACCTGACTGCGTGAGACTGCGTGACATCTCTGGGAGTTGCATCATTATCGCCACATCCCCACGCAGATTCAAAGTCGTCCGCTTCACTATCAAGAAGATCCGCGGAAGCGCAGATCCGGAGAATTTCCAGCTTGTACCTCGGTACTTGATGCTCGTTGGCGCATGGCTCGCCACGGCGGGGACTGAGGCTGGACACGGTCGTGCTCTACAACAGGCGTACATCTCGCGTCATGAATGCAACATGGGCTAATTTTACCTTTGCAACCTGCAGAGGTGTGGTGGTGCGATTCATCGCTCGCTTGTGGATGAGCGGCGCGAAGGAAATTATTGGCATGCGGCTCAGCGTCGTCATTCAGGGAGCTGTATAATGAAGCGCATGATTGAGCTTATTCCCGACGCAGGTTTGTGGAGATTCGTGATGGCGCAGAGCTTGCTCAGGGCTCAAACTCCCTGGCAGTTTACATTTTGATTTGATCAAGCAAGCAATCAATAGTACGTGACAGGTCACGGGATATCAAATTGTGACCCACAGGACCGGGGGAACCATGTGATGGCATCCGTGATGGGACCAGCAACTGATATTGATCCCACATTTGCCACTCCCGTCCATGCGCCCCGGCACCCGAATCAAGCGTGTGTCCCCGTTCTTTATCCAAAACCGCCTTCAATGCACGAACGTGAGCGAAGTTCAGACCAGAAGAACCCTCAGTGCCTTGCTTCACCTGCTTTCTGCACATCCACTTGCCCTTCGTGATCTCCGATGTACATGCCTTGTGCAGCGGCACCAGCACAGTTTGAATGATTAGCTTGTTCTTTCGGATCCACAGCTGTGCGCAGGATTGAGGGTCCGGAGTGTGATCCTGCATCTTGGGTTGTCGAGGACTTTCCCAGACAAGTGCGATGGTTTGAGTGTATGTGCGCTTGCGCGTGTGTGTGCGTCGGCGCAGGGCTCGGTGGATGGAGTCACTTGGCACATGATCGACGAGTGCAAAGGCACGAAGATCGTGTGGACATGCAGACTGATGCAATCGAACCAGTGAATGGAATGATTCGCAGCAAGTCGTGAGGGTTTCGTTACCCGTCGAGGTGAGTCTCTTCCTCGGCAGCGCGAAACGGAGATTGACTTAGTACAATCTGCTCATTTTCGGACACTGTGTCTCCAGTGCTACCAGTAGCTAGCTGTGATATCAAGAGGCTTCTGAGCAGTTTGACGACCTGATGCACATGCCGGTGGGGCAACTTGCTGCTTGCTAGGCTGAAGCTTCGTCACTCACGTGTAGTGTGAACGTTGGAACGACACTGCAGGATGCACAGGCAGCTTTCCGGCAAGGCTTCCTGGCGGAAGTTGCAGCTTGTGCAGGCCAGTCGACCGGTGCCGGTATGTGAGTGCGAAAGATTTGCAAAGCCAACGGACTGCTGCACGACAGCACTCCGGCCTTCGTATTTCATGGAGCCGGATTTAGACCCAGGGCAGCCGTTGCTCGTCGCAAGCGATTGTCAGTTGTCATATAAACAGTGCGAGAACAAGTGTGACCCACAGCAAAAAGCATTTTCTGCATGAAGGAAAGTGAAGGTGTTGGATCAGCTCGATGGTGCTTCTGATGGGTGGAACTCTAACTCTAGGCAGCTTAAGGTCCCATGTTTTGACTCTCCTCTTCTGCAACCCCATGATTGCTTGTACAACTTGTGTTTCTCCTTCCGGAGTTCGTGCACATCTGAAGCTAGTTTCTCACAGTTGTTGTTTGCTGAGGAATAGAATGCTGCATAGCAGGGTTGCAAACAAGCCCCCTCACCCATCATGTTCGATGGCACTTTAGCGAGAAGGCTGCACTGTTTTGTCTATGACAGGCTCATTTGCGTGGCTGATACTCGGAACTTCTTGGGTAAGCCTGGTGCTTGGATCCATGCAATGCCAGTGGCTCGCAATACATTACTTAATCCAAATCTTGCCTGGAAGGTGCCGGTACAGAGGCATGTGTGGATTCGGCGCCATATCTATGGTGCCGGCTGACCCACCACAGAATGCCACGATCGTTTCGTGCTAAGCCCATGGACCCATGGATAGTAGCTCCAATAACAACGAGCGCATGCTGCGTCCATATCGTTTCTACGGAGCAAACATTAAGAGCGTTTTGTTGTGGTAAATAATGGAAAATGCCTCAGATCAAGCATCGTCCGCGGGATCACGTCACAAGTTGCAAACTGGACGCGCCCAGGCACCACTACGCGAAGGCAATCCGTGTTGATGGATATGTCGACCTGTAGATGCCGATGTGGTGTATCTATCGTACTTTGTTTCCTGGTGTTTCAGAGTGACTGACGTGGGTTCCTCGAGCAATGGCAAGTTTCGTCGGAGGTCCCGAAATTATGTCTAAACCAGTATGCGATTGTCTCAGGCATCTGCGCAGTCTGAATCACTGTCGGCAGCGTCCGAGCATCGAACAGCTGAAGAACTTGAGCAGTGGCAATGGAAACGCAGTAAGCGAGGGTGCAAATCGTCTTATTGCTGTTACTGTTGCACTGGCTGAAAAACATAAATTAGGTGCCTTCGTTCAGGGGAGCCCCCACACACACGCACAACTATTGAAGAGAACAACATGCAGTGAACATGTCTTTAGGGAGTCAACATGCCCGTCCCAAAACCAGATTCGCGTGCCTACTCGTACCCCGTGGCTGGCAAGAAAAGCTCATATTCCCTTACGTCAGCTTTGCAGCGTTGTTCTGTGTGTTGGGATGTTTCAGGGTTCCTGGAACTCGATCCAGGAGTCGGTTGTCGTACTGGCTACTGACACCGGTGTAAAGCGAGCGCAAATTTAAAAAGCTGTGACAGAGAAGACATTTGAGGCTTCGTTCGTCAACCTTCATGATTTAATTACCCGTCTACCACAAAGTAGTTTCGTTCACATGCTCGGCGTTATTCCGCTTGCACGGAGATGCAGGGAGCTTAGGGTTGGATGGTGGAGCCTTGTTGCCGCAAGACTGCGAGTCGGTCTTAAGCCGCCATATCCCATCTCGCAGACCTACGGAGCTCATCACGAGCTTCCGGGTTTATGGCCCCTGGCTGGAAGGGAAAAGCATGTCCATGAATTCCGGGGCCTTGAAAAAGTGCTGGTGTGCGGTCCTGACAATCGTCCTTCTTGAAGTGAATTGTGAAGTTCAAATCTGCATTTGCTGTGGTGTATACCGTGTTTCCAGAATTTTCTCGCTTGGCAATCGCCACTTGCCACACGGTCCAGAAGGTTAGGGGATGGAGTTTGGAGCACTGTGCTTCAAAAACTACCCGTGCCGCCCAGGCGCACATGGCATTCGACCGACACGTACTGTCAAGGCATGATCACAAAGTCACTTTTGCAGTAACGAGTGCATGTCTGCAGTGGAGGCTGCACATGTGAGGTAAACGGCGAAACGCCGGCCAGCTTAGACCACTCGAAGTCAGCATTAACAATCGGAGAAACGTTAACAGCATGCGCTAGTCCTGATGCTTTTGGGGAGTGCGCCGACAGCAACATGGACCTTTCCAGGGTGCCAGCATGGACGGTTTGCGAGGAGTGTGCAAGGACATAGACGCCCACTATGGGTGCTGTTGGGAGCGGGGGGTGCATCCTACAGCAACATTGAAATTACAGCCACCGTGGGTCAGGATTGAGAGAGTCCAGGCATCGTGGGAGCCGACGTTGGCGACGCACTCGCTTGCCGTCGTGGCTTAACACTGCCACAGCCAAGCAGAATCCCTTCTTTGCGGCCAACAGGCATTAATCAATTAACAAGATAACATAAGCATAAGGCTTAGCTACAGATATCAGTCCAACAGTTTTAACCGTTCAGAGGTTGAAGCTGCAAATTCAACTGTAATAATTGCAGAGTTCGCAGCAGCCAGAAGTGGAGCCTGGAGTGGAAGCCTGAAGAACTATTCAGAGAAGCCGCCTGTGTTGCGCGTTCGTGCTTGTTGATTGACATTGGACGCCGCTTGAACCAAAGTTTGACCAGAGCCACATGTTGGTTCTTTAAGCACAAAGGGCCAAGAGACATGGAGAACAGGGTCAGAGAAAAGAAACCTGCGGAAGAGTTGCATAAGTTCAATTGCATTCCGAGATTCCGATGTGCGGTTCATAGACCTGTTCCGAAGACGCGCTGAGACTCCTGCGAGATCCTGCGAGGTACTGGTGCTATTTTCTCGTTGTTGTCCTCTGGTCCTTCCTTGGAACGGTCACAATCGGCCTGATAACATGCCAGGCTCTTAGAGGCTGCCACGGATGTTGTAGCTCGTGCTGACTACAAGTAGCTCCAGCAGAGCAGCTCAGGTGCTGTGGCCATGATTCTCGTCGGCGGGAAGACTACATAGCAGGCTCGCACTTCTAGCAAGGGATGGTATCTGAAATTATCTGAAGGATACAGCAACGCATGCTGCAGTTCTTTCGCCCTGAGAGTCGAGACAGGCTGGAGCAAACACAAACGACAAGCTCGAAACAGGAACAGTCGCTGGACCAAACCCTGAAAGGTTTTTGCAGACGCTCGTCGTGTGAAGTGGCGTAAGCATCCAGCATACATAACATGAGGAATAGGATGCTGACACACAGCACAGCTGGCAGAGCAATGCAGCGCTGGGGAAGCCACACTGAATAATTGCGGTGTCATAAATTAAATCTAGACGATGCGAACTAGCCTGTGTCTCCACATGACTCCACAGAGTTCAGAGGAAGCCTTGTATGCCTGAATTGATAATGCAACTTGTCAACTTGAAGTCGGTCGTATTGAGTTCCGATTCATCCGGCTCGAGGCATGAAGACGAGGTTCTTTTGTGCCATTGTTGCCCATCCCTTTACAAGAGGGCATGACGAATTGCGCACCTTGCCTTGCACTGGCACTGTTGTTGCATGCCATGGCGTCTCCTCCAGCAGCATTCCAGGAGGCATTACTCCAGCCTTATGCTGGGTACTGTGCACACCCGCCTTTAGCCCAGCAGCGTGCAATTGCTGGTCCACTTGCAGATGAAGTCCTGTCAGCTGCACACTTACATTTGGTGGGCGTTCAGGTGGTGTTTCGGCATGGCGCCAGAGATTTGTCTTCGGACAGAGCCTGTTTCGCAACTATGGAAGCAGTCTTCCGGAATTGTTCGGTGCAGCAGCTGGTTTCCTTCGAGACTGGGGAAAAGGAGGATGAGGAAACAGCACCGCTGTTGCGAAAGATGCTGGATGCATACCCTTCCATGGAAGAGAACATGCCTGGCTCTGGTTACATCTCACAAGCGGTTGGTTGTGGAAAAGGTGTGCTGTTGAATGATGCCATTCCACAGACCATAGCCCTTGCCCATTCCATCGAGCAGAAGTATTTCCGCTCATTGCCATCGGCCCCGAGTCTTGACACAATCCGAATGTACTCCACAGGCAAGGAACGAACCCAGGCCACCCTCTTCCTTCTGCAAAAGCATCTCTTCAGCGACGAATCTGCCAAGGCCCGCTCATTCTATTCCCGTCCTGTCTCAAGCGATCCATGGGACTTGAATCAGCACTGTCCTCGTGTTGGACACATGCGCCATGCAAGACATTTCCAGACGGATCCACAGATAATTGAGCGTCGGTTTCCGTCTTTTGCTCGCAGATGGAGGGACGCCGCAGGAACCGAATTTCAGGCAAGCTTCAAGGACTGCCTGCTGGTCGCTCAGTGTTCCGGACAGCAGGCCTTGCTCTTGCCGGAAGGTTTGCAGCCAAATTCGGAGCTGTTCAAGGAGGCTTTGACGATATCTTTGGAGCTCTTCCAGGAGCATTTCTCGAAAGACGATGCGACGGTCGAGCAGATGCAGCTCCTCGCTGCCCCTGCACTGCTCGAGCTAGACCAGCTTCTCCAGCACCAAGCGGACGAAACCGACTCTGCAGCTTTCGCCTTGTGGGCCACACATGACACGACCATATTGGTAATGCTTGTGGCATTGGGCCTTTGGGATGGACAGTGGCCTCCATATACAGACACCTTAGTGCTGGAAGTCTACAAAGAGCTTCAACAGCAGGGTAGTCACGGCAGTGGCAGTGCTTTTGTGCGGCTGCTCCATGGCTCAACTGTCTTGCATCTTCCATGGTGCAAGGTTCATGAAAGGATTCCAGGGCTCTGTTCTGTGGAGTCTTTTTTGCCTCCAGCCATAGAGCGGTTTCGAGACATGAAAGCATATCGACGGGCTTGCAATGCGAGCAGCTTGTTTAGCGCTGCTCCCGCTATTCCTGTGGAGCAGAGTGTCACATGCGGATTACCATCGGCAGGAGCCCTGATGTTCTCTGCTTTGTCGTTCGTAGCCGGCTACCAATTCAAAGCCTGGCAGAGGTCCAGGCCTGATTCAGCAGATTATGTAGTGCTGTCGCCGCAGCCATAACAGCCTCGAGCTGATTCTGAAGCCACTCGAGGAGTCAGCACCTGATCGTTAATTTTGTGTACCCAGAAGACATTGCCTGGGTGCGGGACCGTGTTGACCACAGCCGTCAACAACCTTTTGTGGCTGTGGATATCACGCATAAGCAGTGAGCCTCTGCCAAGTTGGAAAGACTGAAGAGTGGAGCTGTGAGGGCAATCAAGTTAGCATGTTCAGAGCACCTCGAGAAATCTTAATTTTGATCCCTGATCGGCAATCCCCCTCCCTCCGCGGCCCTCCCCCCCCTCAAGGTCGTCCATGAAAACCAGAAAACAATCAAGGATAGAGTGTCGTAGTGCTCGTGGTCTCTTAGTGGTACATGCAACAATAGTGCCCACCGCAGCCCAACAACTGGTCCTGGTTCGACGGCTGGCTCATAAGCAGCGCAGGCTGCTTTTGTTCATGAAACGATATGAAACGTTGATTGACCGACTGCTTCAGGCTGTGTGTTGCCCGATGGGCCCGATCTGGTTCGCTTGGAGTTGGTGCAGCTGCTACAAGCATGAAACTCAGTTCTTTAGCCAACAGGTCGCCATGCTCAACTACATGGTAGCATATCATCTGAATGGCTAACTTAGCTTCAATGCGTCGCTATATCATGGGAGCTCTTGGGTTCACCACTGCAGAACCGCATGAGCCCCTGCACATTCGCTCTGCTTGCACTGAGAGGCCGAGCCGAAGGCTGCCCCAGGCTTCTGAAGAGAGCCATACGGTTGATTGCACACCGCTATTGCGGCTACGAGCTGCATCCCGCACGGATGTCACAGTCACAGTGATGTCTTCTGAAGTTGGGTCCGGTCAGCAGGTACCACGGAATTTGTGGAATGAGTGGGAAGCCAGCAGCATCTGTGAGTTATTGTTGGTGTCTGTACCTTCTACCGTTAGCATTGCAGGTTCTGGTGAGAGCACATCAGCAACATTAATCTTCGGTAGATTGGAATGAGGCGTGGCTTGGACAGGGAGCGCACTTTCCGAACATGCCAACAGAATGTTTTGCTTAGCGAGGCCGGAAGGACTTGTCACATGGTGGGTTTGTCCTGGCACAGTACATCACAACCATGTTCAAAGCCATCAGAAATGCAGCATTGCATCTTGCCGGCCTAGCACTCTGAAACCGGTGGTGCCACCAATCCGCTGAGTAGCAGGAGTTCATAAATCTGACCTTTCTCGTGAAAATCTCGGGGCCAAGGAACATTAGAAGATATAAGAGAATGAAGACTTTGCTTCAAACCTGTCATGACCTTTCAGTGCCCCGAGCTGAAGTGCTCTCCACTCCTTGTTCTCATTGCTCGCGCCCCGAGACGCGCACTGTTCGCTGGCAAAGAGCATACCGGGCTGTTAAGGGTAGAGCCGAAAGGCTTCGTCTTGGACAAAGGCTAATCTTTTGTGCCTCACAGCCTTCTTTGTCAGCCTGGGTGGACCAAGTGAGAGCATGCAGCCCTTTGAATCCGTAGCACGAGACAGAAGGCCACGAAAGCGCGCACAGGCGACGACTTGATTTCTCTTTCGAGCCGAAGACATTCCCCTCCATGCCAAAGCAGCGTGTGGTGCCATGGCCAGTATTGAGCATGCTGAGCCGCGCTGGAAGCAGAATCTTGCCTTGGCAGCCTGTGTTGCCTCACTGGGAGTGTTGCAACTATATCTTGGTACGAAGGACTCGCACGACACATGCCAACCCGCTCAAAGCCTCACAACTTTGCTCGTCCTCATCCTGCAGAACGTGAACCCTAATGAATCCTCCAAGTAATCCCTGTCAGGATGATTGGCAAGCGACTATAGCCACAAGGTACATCTCCCTGAGAGCTCCAGCTCCAGGCGCCGTGTCCCTGTCCCAGGTTTTCACGTTTCACTCAGCTAAAGCACAAACAAAGTGGCAACGAACCAAACAGGCACGAAAACAGGGCTGCTTCATGAAACCGTTCGAGCCGTGTTGGAACGAAGAGTCGAAGACTTGCACGGGACACAGCGTAGATGTGGTCGACAGAGGGATTTGGATCACCACAGAAAGATTTCAGTGGCTGTCGGAGCCTCACTTGACGGAACACTCTGGCACTTACAGGGGTAAGACTGAGTAAGTTTAAGGAGTGGACGGATAATTTGTAGTTGCCACCAGTAGGTTAACAGGGAGGGACACGCCCGTATGAAAGCTTTCAGTTGCTGGTTGGCAAAATGTGCTGAGTCGAGGTGGCTGGTTGGTGACAACGACGACGACGACGACGACGACCATCGCCGCTCCGATGACGCTGACAATCATGGCAGACTTGAGCATAACGAGTGCTCATCCGACAACCGACTTGCCGCCCGATGTTGCAGCTCCTGCGCTTGGCAGTCGGACCTGCTCGAAGACACGCATCATTGACCCGGCTGGCTGTGTTTCGAGCAGTCGCACCAATGAGTCACAAGCCTATGCAACTTACGGCGTAAAAGGGTTTTCAGACAAATACTTTAGCAGCCAATGCATAACCTGGGCTCGTCTGATCCGACGGGCAGACAGCGCACGACCCATTCTGTTTTTACTGCCCGAAGAATTGGCAAGGCCGGCCAATGAGCTGGCAGTCAAAGAGTTGAATGAAGAGCTGACGAATGTCCAGTTGATCAAGGTGCCAAGTAACACTGTCAAAGTACCGCCTCAACATGCCCTCCTGATGAAAGAAGCACACAATTGCTGCGGGGACAAAGAGTTTTCGGTTTTGGCGCTGTGGACGTTACCCTATGATCGTGTCTTGTACATGGAGACCGACACCAGGCTCTTGAGCAATGTGGACGAGCTTTTCAATTGCGATGTAGATTTCATGGCGACGATTGGGCCCTGGAGCCCTGTAAATGGAGGTGTATTTCTGTTGCGACCTCGCATGACCACTTTTGAGGCAATGCAGAAGCATCTGGAAAGTACGAAATACAATCACGAGACTTGCTGGGGCGGATCCGGGTGCCCGAAGCCTTTCAAGCCAGGCTGGAAGCGTGGGTTCGGGAGTGAGGGCCCCCAAGGCTTTTTGGAGTATTATTTCTTTTGTCTGGGCGAGCTGAATTCTGAATCCAGCGCCAAGATGGACATGGGAACGTACAACTACCAGGTTTGTGGCCAAGCAATCGCAGATCTGCGTAAGCTAGAGCCTCGTCTCTGGAAGGGTTGCCGCTCTCCTGCGACCACGAAGATCCTCCACAAATGTGTTGCTTTTTCTCGATCACTCTTTATTTGTTTGTCTTTCTGTTGTTCTGTCGCTGAAGCAGGCGAAGCAGTATGTTAGTATGTTGAAAGCTTGATACTCAAAGCAGCCGTCTCTAAGCTCCCGGCCGCTATGCCACTAAGGTTGGCCGCGACTGCAATCGCTTTCAAGAACGCATGTCCAAGCTCCTGTCTGCGTCGACACCGCCCGTGGCGAGAAATTGTGATTTCAGCATGCTCTGCTTGTCAGTTCTAGAACAGCCGGAACAACCTTATGGTGTATCTAGCCCATGCCCGAATATCCACTCATGCTGGTCTTTTGGATTGCTATTCACTGAGCAGGGTTGCCCGTGCAGGTCCAAGACAAATTCATGTGGCAGCCATGCGGACCCGAAACAGGGCAGGGGTCTTCGATGTGCGGCTTTGCACGACCTTACTGTAGTAGGAGCAGTAGAAGTGGTTGTGGTAGTGAGTGGAGCAACAGCAGCAGCTGGTGGTGTTGTCGTTGTTGCTGTGGCGGCGGCGGTGGTGGGTGGTGGTGGCGGTGGAGGCTGTGATTGTCGTTGTCCTTGTCGTCGCTTCAGTCGCAGCAGCAGTGGTAGTCGTAGATGTCCGCAAAGCCCCACAAGCATTGCAGCGCGTGCAAGCTCAGCACGCCATTCGGTGTCCTTCTGTACTCAGTACAGTATAACGTAAGTTCCTCTGAACCGCCCACATTCTGCCGAAGCCAAAGTGCAGGCATGGGGTAGGACTGTCGCACTTGCACACAGATAGTGCTGCTCAAGTGTTGCCACCTGGGCTATGTTGTTTCTGGTGTCTAATGAGCTGGTAGGATTACTCCGAGATATGTTGGCTAGACTGTTAGACTCTGTTGGGCAACCCTGATTTACATCGGGGCAGGTGCAGTCTGGAGGGACTGGACGCCAGAGTAATGCACCTGCGGTTTCAGTATTATGCTACCAGTCATCGCCTTGCGGATCAGTCTCCAGATGGCATCTGTTGGGACTGAGCACGGCAGGCGGAAGTTCCTAGTCTGCATGCGTCAAGCCAGCGGTTTAACATTTAGAGTAATCCCACCCGCCCAAACAATCCTATAACATAACATTCAGAATATACAAATCATCTTCTCAAAGCCCCGGAGTTTAGCCCTAACTCCACAGTACCCTATAAGCCACAAAAAATTTCAGCCCGAAGCCCTAAAGTCGAAACATCAAGGTGGAACTTAGCGTACGATTACCTTCTACCTTCTACGCATACTTCAGTTTCTGCTCTGAATACAAAGCCAACCCCTAAACCCGATTCCAGTAAGCCTTAACCTGATCCTTCTAGGCCCTAAACCTTGTCATTATACTTTAGGTTAAAATCCTTCCCCCACCCCGGAACCTTTCTGACTAAAGTATGATAACCCACCATGCTAATGACTTATTCCGGCACGCCCTAAACTTAAAATAGAGTTTCGGAAGAGGTTTTCGGAATTCGGAATAGGGTTTCGGAATAGAGTTTCCGAATAGAGTTTCGGAATCAGGGTTCGGACGACCTTAAGCTCTAATGAGTGCCATTAAAGTTTAAATACATGACGTAAGAGACTGCTTGAGGGTTTAAGGGTTTTTGAGTCCGGTCCGCGAGGCCGGGAGCTGAGCGGCCAGGGCCGGGCCCGCAAAGGCTTGGCTCCCCGGGTTTAGAGGTTTAAGTACATTGAAAGGGTTCAGGGGTTTAGGGTTCAGGGGTTTAGGGTTCAGGGGTTCAGGGGTTTAGGGGTTCAGGGGTTTAGGGGTTCAGGGGTTTCGGGGTTTGGGGT